CAGACAATGATGGAGGGCGTGGAGGAGACTCTGAGCGAGTTCAAGTCTATACACTGCTACACTATACACTACTACACTATACACTACTACACTATACACTACTACACTATACATTACTACACTATACACTACTACACTACACACTACTACACTATACACTACTACACTATACACTACTACACTATACACTACTACACTACTACACTATACACTACACTAGACACTACTACACTATACACTACTACACTACACACTACTACACTATACACTACTACACTATACACTGCTACACTATACACTACTACACTATACACTACTACACTATACACTACTACACTATACACTACTACACTATACACTACTACACTATACACTACTACACTACACACTACTACACTATACACTACTACACTATACACTACTACACTATACACTACTACACTATACACTACTACACTACACTATACACTACTACACTATACACTACTACACTACACTATACACTACACTATACACTACTACACTACACTATACACTACACTATACACTACTACACTACACACTACTACACTATACACTACTACACTATACACTACTACACTATACACTACTACACTATACACTACTACACTACACTATACACTACTACACTATACACTACTACACTATACACTACACTATACACTACTACACTATACACTACTACACTACACTATACACTACACTATACCACTGCTACTCTACCTACAGGCACAATGATGGAGGGCGTGGAGGAGACTCTGAGCGCCTTCAAGTCTATACACTGCTACACTATACACTACTACACTATACACTACACTATACACTACTACACTATACACTACTACACTATACATTACTACACTATACACTATACACTACACTATACACTACTACACTATACACTACTACACTACACACTACTACACTATACACTACTACACTATACACTACACTATACACTACTACACTATACACTACTACACTATACACTACTACACTACATTATACACTACTACACTATATACTACTACACTATACACTACTACACTATATACTACTACACTACACTACTACACTATACACTACTACACTATACACTACTACACTATACACTACACTATACACTACTACACTATACACTACACTATACACTACTACACTATACACTACTACACTATACACTACTACACTACACTATACACTACTCCACTGCTACTCTACCTACAGACAATGATGGAGGGCGTGGAGGAGACTCTGAGCGAGTTCAAGTCTATACACTGCTACACTATACACTACTACACTATACACTACTACACTATACACTACTACACTATACACTACTACACTATACATTACTACACTATACACTACTACACTACACACTACTACACTATACACTACTACACTATACACTACTACACTATACACTACTACACTATACACTACACTAGACACTACTACACTATACACTACTACACTACACACTACTACACTATACACTACTACACTATACACTGCTACACTATACACTACTACACTACACACTACTACACTATACACTACTACACTATACACTGCTACACTATACACTACTACACTATACACTACTACACTACACACTACTACACTATACACTACTACACTATACACTACACTATACACTACTACACTACACACTACACTATACACTACTACACTATACACTACACTATACACTACTACACTATACACTACACTACTACACTACACTATACACTACTACACAATACACTACTACACAATACACTACTACACTATACACTACACTACTACACTACACTATACACTACTACACAATACACTACTACACAATACACTACTACACTATACACCACTACACTATACACTAATACACTATACACTACTACACTATACACTACTACACTATACACTACACTATACACTACTACACTATACACTACTACACTACACTATACACTACTACACTTTACACTACTACACTATACACTGCTACACTATACACTGCTACACTATACACTACACTATACACTACACTATACACTACTACACTATACACTACTACACTATACACTACTACACTACACTATACACCACTCCACTGCTACTCTACCTACAGACAATGATGGAGGGCGTGGAGGAGACTCTGAGCGAGTTCAAGTCTATACACTGCTACACTATACACTACTACACTATACACTACTACACTATACACTACACTATACACTACTACACTATAAACTACACTATACACTACTACACTATACACTACTACACTATACACTACTACACTATACACTACTACACTATACACTACTACACTATACACTACACTATACACTACTACACTATAAACTACACTATACACTACTACACTATACACTACTACACTATACACTACTACACTATACACTACTACACTATACACTACACTATACACTACTACACTATACACTACTACACTATACACTACTACACTATACACTACTACACTATACACTACTACACTATACACTACTACACTATACACTACTACACTACTACTCTACCTACAGGCACAATGATGGAGGGCGTGGAGGAGACTCTGAGCGCCTTCAAGTCTATACACTGCTACACTATACACTACTACACTATACACTACACTATACACTACTACACTATACACTACTACACTATACATTACTACACTATACACTATACACTACACTATACACTACTACACTATACACTACTACACTACACACTACTACACTATACACTACTACACTATACACTACACTATACACTACTACACTATACACTACTACACTATACACTACTACACTACATTATACACTACTACACTATACACTACTACACTATACACTACTACACTATATACTACTACACTACACTACTACACTATACACTACTACACTATACACTACTACACTATACACTACACTATACACTACTACACTATACACTACACTATACACTACTACACTACTACACTATACACTACTACACTACACTATACACTACTCCACTGCTACTCTACCTACAGACAATGATGGAGGGCGTGGAGGAGACTCTGAGCGAGTTCAAGTCTATACACTGCTACACTATACACTACTACACTATACACTACTACACTATACACTACTACACTATACACTACTACACTATACACTACTACACTACACACTACTACACTATACACTACTACACTATACACTACTACACTATACACTACTACACTACTACACTATACACTACACTAGACACTACTACACTATACACTACTACACTACACACTACTACACTATACACTACTACACTATACACTGCTACACTATACACTACTACACTACACACTACTACACTATACACTACTACACTATACACTGCTACACTATACACTACTACACTATACACTACTACACTACACACTACTACACTATACACTACTACACTATACACTACTACACTATACACTACTACACTATACACTACTACACTACACTATACACTACTACACTATACACTACTACACTACACTATACACTACACTATACACTACTACACTACACTATACACTACACTATACACTACTACACTACACACTACTACACTATACACTACTACACTATACACTACTACACTATACACTACTACACTATACACTACTACACTACACTATACACTACTACACTATACACTACTACACTATACACTACACTATACACTACTACACTATACACTACTACACTACACTATACACTACACTATACCACTGCTACTCTACCTACAGGCACAATGATGGAGGGCGTGGAGGAGACTCTGAGCGCCTTCAAGTCTATACACTGCTACACTATACACTACTACACTATATACTACACTATACACTACTACACTATACACTACTACACTATACATTACTACACTATACACTACACTATACACTACTACACTATACACTACTACACTACACACTACTACACTATACACTACTACACTATACACTACACTATACACTACTACACTATACACTACTACACTATACACTACTACATTACATTATACACTACTACACTATATACTACTACACTATACACTACTACACTATATACTACTACACTACACTACTACACTATACACTACTACACTATACACTACTACACTATACACTACACTATACACTACTACACTATACACTACACTATACACTACTACACTATACACTACTACACTATACACTACTACACTACACTATACACTACTCCACTGCTACTCTACCTACAGACAATGATGGAGGGCGTGGAGGAGACTCTGAGCGAGTTCAAGTCTATACACTGCTACACTATACACTACTACACTATACACTACTACACTATACACTACTACACTATACACTACTACACTATACATTACTACACTATACACTACTACACTACACACTACTACACTATACACTACTACACTATACACTACTACACTATACACTACTACACTATACACTACACTAGACACTACTACACTATACACTACTACACTACACACTACTACACTATACACTACTACACTATACACTGCTACACTATACACTACTACACTACACACTACTACACTATACACTACTACACTATACACTGCTACACTATACACTACTACACTATACACTACTACACTACACACTACTACACTATACACTACTACACTATACACTACTACACTATACACTACTACACTATACACTACTACACTACACTATACACTACTACACTATACACTACTACACTACACTATACACTACACTATACACTACTACACTACACTATACACTACACTATACACTACTACACTACACACTACTACACTATACACTACTACACTATACACTACTACACTATACACTACTACACTATACACTACTACACTACACTATACACTACACTATACCACTGCTACTCTACCTACAGACAATGATGGAGGGCGTGGAGGAGACTCTGAGCGCCTTCAAGTCCAGCGTGCGGAGAAGTTTTGATGGAGCCAGCACTAAGCAGGCGGAAGAGAGTGAGTGGTGGTGCAGCGGTTAGCGCACTCTGTGTGTCTGTGTGTCTGTGTGTGTGTGTGTCTGTGTGTGTGTGTGGGTGTGTGTGTGTGTGGGTGTGTGTGTGGGTGTGTGTGTGTGTGGGTGTGTCTGTGTGTGTGTGGGTGTGTCTGTGTGTGTGTGTCTGTGTGTGTGTGTCTGTGTGTGTGTCAGTGTGTGTGTCTGTGTGTGTGTGTGTCTGTGTGTGTGTGTGGGTGTGTCTGTGTGTGTGTGTGTCTGTGTGTGTGTGTCTGTGTGTGTGTCTGTGTGTGTCTGTGTGTGTGTGTCTGTGTGTGTGTGTCTGTGTGTCAGTGTGTCTGTGTGTGTGTCTGTGTGTGTGTGTGTCTGTGTGTGTGTGTCTGTGTGTCAGTGTGTCTGTGTGTGTGTCTGTGTGTGTCTGTGTGTGTGTGTCTGTGTGTGTGTCTGTGTGTCTGTGTCTGTGTGTGTGTCTGTGTGTGTGTGTCTGTGTGTGTCTGTGTGTGTGTCTGTGTGTCTGTGTGTGTCTGTGTGTGTGTCTGTGTGTCTGTGTCTGTGTGTGTGTCTGTGTGTGTGTGTCTGTGTGTGTCTGTGTGTGTGTCTGTGTGTCTGTGTGTGTCTGTGTGTGTGTGTGTGTGTCTGTGTGTGTCAGTGTGTGTGTCTGTGTGTGTCTGTGTGTGTGTGCGTGGGGAGCGGTGGTGCAGTGGTTATCGCTGGCGAACCACTGTGGTGATGGTGTTGATGGTGGTGGTGATGGTGGTGGTGATAATGGTGGGTTTAGTGGGTAAAATCTACCACGCAGACTCGAAATATACAGCAGCAGCAGGCATCGTTAGGGTCACGGGATCGAACCCACGACCTCCTTTATACTAGGCGAGGTAGTCAACATCTCACAGGGTCTGGGATCTAACCCACGACCTCCTGTATACCAGGCGAGGTAGTCAACATCTCACAGGGTCTGGGATTGAACCCACGACCTCCTGTATACCAGGCGAGGTAGTCAACATCTCACAGGGTCTGGGATCGAACCCACGACCTCCTGTGTACCAGGCGAGGTAGTCAACATTTCCTAGCCACTTTGACGCCCAGATACAGTGAGGGAAAAAAGTATTTGATCCCCTGCTGATTGTTTGTACGGTTTTCCCACTGACAAAGAAATGATCAGTCTATAATTTTAATGGTAGGTTTATTTGAACAGTGAGAGACAGAATAACAACAAAAATCCAGAAAAACGCATGTCAAAAATGTTATAAATTGATTTGCATTTTAAGGAGGGAAATAAGTATTTAAGTAATGTCTGTGTAGTGTGTCTGTGTGTGTGTGTCTGTGTGTGTGTCTGTCTGTGTGTGTGTCTGTCTGTGTGTCTGTCTGTGTGTGTGTGTGTCTGTGTGTGTCTGTGTGTGTGTGTGTCTGTGTGTGTGTGTCTGTGTGTCTGTGTGTCTGTGTGTGTCTGTGTGTGTGTGTCTGTGTGTGTGTATGTGTGTGTGTCTGTGTGTGTGTCTGTATGTGTGTCTATGTGTGTGTGTCTGTGTGTGTGTGTGTCTGTCTGTGTCCGTGTGTGTGTCTGTAGCCACGGCCAATTTGAACCTGCAGGGAGGCTAACGGCCTGTCTATCTCTCTCTGTCTCTCTCTGTCTGTGTCTCTGTGTCTCTCTCTGTCTGTGTCTCTGTCTCTCTCTGTCTGTGTCTCTGTCTGTCTGTGTCTCTGTCTGTGTCTGTCTGTGTCTCTCTCTGTCTGTGTCTCTGTCTGTCTGTGTCTCTGTGTCTCTGTCTGTCTGTGTCTGTGTCTGTCTGTGTCTCTCTCTGTCTGTGTCTCTGTGTCTCTGTCTGTCTGTGTCTCTCTCTCTGTGTCTCTGTCTCTGTGTCTCTGTCTGTCTGTGTCTCTGTCTGTCTGTGTCTCTGTGTCTCTGTGTCTCTCTCTGTGTCTCTGTCTCTCTGTGTCTCTGTCTGTGTCTGTGTCTCTGTCTCCGCTACCCACAGCTATGGATGGAGCGATGCAGAGCTGGAAGGAATCCGTCCGGAGGCGCCTCATGCCAACAACGGAGAATGACGTCATCGAAGGTGACTCTACTGGGAGACCCACACTACACTGTACACTACACTGTACACTACACTGTACACTACACTGTACACTACACTATACACTACACTATACACTACTACACTACACTATACACTACACTATACACTACTACACTACACACTACTACACTATACACTACACTATACACTACTACACTATACACTACTACACTACACTATACACTACTACACTATACACTACAACACTATACACTACTACACTATACACTACTACACTATACACTACTACACTATACACTGCTACACTATACACTACTACACTATACACTACTACACTATACACTACTACACTATACACTACTACACTACACTACTACACTATACACTACTACACTATACACTACTACACTATACACTACTACACTATACACTACTACACTATACACTACACTATACACTACTACACTATACACTACTACACTATACACTACTACACTACTACACTAGACTATACAACAACAACCGCCATTCGCCACTAAGTGGCGGTGACGTCACCACGACGCTTGTGCCAGGCTATGTGCACGCTGAGGCCACGTGAAGTGTCGAACGCCCGCTAGCAGGAGGTCACGGGGCAGACCCAGGTGCCACGGGTCGACTGACTGAGATGACTGGCTGATGCACCACCTGTGCCCCCTACTGTGCCAACCTGCTGTGCTTTAGCCACCCGGCGCTCCGCTCGTTGTTGTGAGCGTCGCTCCTCCGCTTTCCGTTGTTGTTGGAGGGCGACTGCCTCCAACTGCCCAGTAGCGTCCTTCACGAGCCTCCTCCACAGAGGTCGATCTTGACACCGCTGGTACCAGTCATCGGCAAGTCCACTCAGCTCCACGTCCTCCTGTACCACATCACTCCATCTCTTCTCTAGCCCGTGCCGCGCCCGCTTAGCCCCCTCAATCCGGCCGAACAAAAGTTGTTTCGGCATGCGTTGGCTGGGCATGCGGGCTACATGACCCAGCCATCGCAGCCTTGCCCGCCGGAGGAGCTCACCGATGGGACCTTGCCCAGATCTTTCAAGGATTTGTGAGCTCCTCACACAATCCAGTCTGGTTAAACCTAGGATGGATCGTAGGTAGGCCAGCCTAAATGTTTCTAACCGGCGAAGATGTTCCATTAGGGGGGTCCACGTTTCGCAAGCGTAGAGAAGGGAGGGAATGACCGTGGCCGAGAAGACCTGAAGCTTAGTGTGGAGCGACAGACCAGGTAGCTTCCACACAGCGTTACGCAACCGATGAAAAGATATTGCCGCTCGACTGATTCGGAGTGAGACCTCTGCTGTTAAACTGGAGCCAGTCATAAGCACACTACCCAGATATGGGAAACTCTCCACTCTCTCCACAACTGCCCCACCACCGATTGGGAGTTGTGGGAGTGGAGTGTCCGATGGTACAAAATACCCAGGCAGGTGCTTAGTTTTGGTGGGGCTGATGGTAAGGCCCCACCTCTTAGTAGCACGCTCCAGTCTCAGCAGCAGAGTCTCCAACTCCTCCTCTGACTGAGCAGCTATTACCAAATCATCAGCATACATAACGTGGTTGACCAATAGGGAGCCAACCCTTGACTGCACCCGGGCATCGATCAGCCTCCCATTATATCTGTACCATATGGAGATTCCCCCGGTACAGCTATTGAAGGCTTCACGAACTACGTGGTCAAAATAGATGTTAAATAATGTGGGAGCCAGAGGACATCCCTGTCGCACCCCAAGGTGTACAGGGAATGGCTCTGACTCCCGGCCACGTAGTTTTACCCGGGCCCGCTCACCATCATGAAGGTCCTTAATGATCGTGAGCAGAGGGTCAGGTACTCCAAAAGCACGAAGAACGACCCAGAGCCCAGGCCTACTGATGGTGTCATAGGCCTTGACCAGGTCAATAAAGCATAGATGTAGGTCTTGTTGGAATTCCCTACACCTCTGCTGTAGCAGACGGACAGAAAATATGGCATCTGTGCAGGACCGCCCTTTCCTGAAACCGCATTGGGGCTCCGCAAGCCTCTCCTCAGCGTGCCTGGCAAGGCGGTGCTGAATAATCCTTGCCAGGACCTTTCCCGGCACACTGAGGAATGAGATGCCCCTGTAGTTGTTACAGTCTGTTCGGTCCCCCTTCTTAAAGAGGGGGACCACCAGGGCATCCTTCCAATCCTGCGGAACCCGTCCAGCGGACCAGACTGTTGTTATGATGTCATATAGGGCAGTCTGTGCACAAACGCCACCCTCCCTCAGCATTTCGCTTGGGAGATCATCTCTGCCCGCTGCCTTTCCTGGTCTCAGACTCCGGATCGCCTTCAGTACTTCCTCAACAGATGGCACCTCAGCCAGCCACTCACAGGGGGTGACTTCTTCCCATATTTGAGGCACCGCAGCCTCAGCAGGGTCATCCTCACTTTGTGCCACGATGTTTTCCTGGCTGAGCGATTTTCCCTCCCCAAGGACCTCACAGAAATTCTCAGCAAATCTGCAAACCTGTTCCTGGGGGTCGGAGATTGGATCACCGTTTTTTCCCCTAATGATGGTAATAGGTGTGGCGCTGCAGGTTACTTTTTTGATGGAGTTTAATAGAGATTTGTGATCACGGGCCACTGAGACAGACTCCATCTCCTCAGCAACCCGCGACCACCACCCATCCTTGCAGCGCCTCACGGCTCTCCGAACCTCCGAGCGAAGGCTGCTGTAAGCCTCCTCATTCTCTGACGTGGGATTCTGTAGCCGATGACAGTGGGCCTGTCACTTTTTCTCAACCATCCTGAACACCTCCTCTGTCAGCCAGGGTCTCTGGGGAGGTCTGGACCGCGTACCCAAAGCAGCCATTGCAGCTGCATGAGTCACAGTCCTAAACCTCGCCCATTTACCCTCGACATCAGGAGGAGTCGGGGTCGATTCCAATCCCAGCCGCAAGCGATGATGAAATTCTCGCTTGCAACTTTCATCAGATAACTGAGACCAGGCCAATTCAGGTCGGTATGGGGTCCTGGGTGTACACCCACCACCGGAGTGGAAGAATGGCAGGCGCATCTTACAGATGACTAGTCGATGGTCAGAGGGCAGATCAGCTCCACGGTACGTCCTGGTGTCAAGGACATAGGCTCGCATCCGCTGGTCCGTCAGTATGTAGTCCAGCAGATGTTCTTGCTTGGACCCGGCATGCATCCATGATGTTGTGTGGATGCGCTGATGCCGGAACAGCGTGTTGGTAATTACAAGCCCATGGGCTGCACAAAAATCTAGCAGCCTCCTACCGTTGTTATTGAGCTGATCTGGCCCATGCCCTCCAATCACTCCAGACCAGGTGCCAGTATCATGACCAACTCGGGCATTAAAGTCACCCAACATGATGACTCTATCCCGAGGGGCCACTTTAGCCAGCACCTGTGACAGGAGGTCATAGAAGGCATCTGACTCATCGGCTTTGCCTGCATCCCTCCACGGATGTTCATCTTCGGTGGGGGCATAAGTAACCACGACCACCATTCCTGGCCTCCGATTGATGGGAAGGCGAGCCCAAAGTAGCCTGGGGCTTACAGCTTCCCACACCTCACCGCCACGCTCCCACGCCCCCTTCATTCTTTTGTTCAAAAGAAGAGCCACACCCTGTTGTTTGGCAGTCTGCTGCCCCGAGTAGAGGACTGTCCACCCCTCATGGTGGCAGGAGCCAGAACCGGTCCACCGGACCTCCTGAATGCCACAAAGATCCAGGCGGTACCGGTCCAGCTCCCGACAGAGGAGTGGCAGCCTCTCCTCCGCAGTAAGCGTTCGAACATTCCACGTGGCCACACGAAGTGGCTTTTCGTTGTTTCTGGAGGAGCCCCGAGGGTAGAGATTCAATCTCCTGGCTCCGCCAATTGGGGTTTGGCCAGGAGACGTCATAGACGCCTGGCCCCCCGGGGCCTCCGGCACAAGCTTATTAGTTACATATTTCAGTTTAACTCGTGGTTTCGTGGTAATTAATTGAAGGTGGAGGGGTTACTACACTATACACTACTACACTATACACTACTACACTACACTATACACTACTACACTATACACTATTACACTACACTATACACTACTACACTATACACTATACACTACTACACTATACACTACTACACTATACACTACTACACTATACACTACACTACTACACTACACTACTACACTATACACCACCCCTCTAAACCACGCCCCTCTAAACCACGCCCTAACCCCTAACCCCTAACCCCTAACCCCCCCTAACCCCGCCCAGCGCTGGAGCTGGCCCAGCGTCTCGTGGACCGCCCCTGGTACCGTGCCGCTGTCCGAGCCAACGCGGTGACGGTGCCCGATGCTCCGGGCCTCTATGCTGTTGGCCGCCGGTCTCGTGGGCACGGCTCGGGGTCCTCCTCCGACTCGTGCCCTGAGGAGTCGTCCTGCTCATCCTCAGGCTCATCCTCAGGCTCATCCTCAGGCTCATCCTCCTCGTGCCCAGAGGAGTCGTCCTACTCATCAGCCTCCGGCGGTGGCCGAACCTCTCGACGCCTCTCGTCGTCGCAGGGGCCAGCGCCCTCGAGGCACGCACAGGAAATCGTCTACCTGCAGGTCTCTGTTGTGTGGTGTGTGGTGTAGTGTGGGTGGTGTGTGTGGTGTGGGTCTCTGTGTATGTGTAGTGTGTGTGGGTCTCTGTGGTGTGTGTGGTGTGTGTAGTGTGTGTGTGGTGTAGTGTGTGTGTGTGTGGTGTGGTGTGTGGTGTGTGTGGGTGGTGTGTGTGTGTGTGGTGTGTGTGGTGTGTGTGTGTGTGGTGTGTGTGGTGTGTGGTGTGTGTGGTGTGTGTGGTGTGTGTAGTGTGTGTGTGGTGTGTGTGTGTGTGGTGTGTGTGGTGTGTGTGGTGTGTGGTGTGTGTGTGTGTGTGTGGTGTGTGTGTGTGTAGTGTGTGTGGTGTGTAGTGTGTGTGGTAGGTCTCTGTGTGTGTGTGTGTGGGTCTGTGTGTGTGTGTCTCTGTGTGTGTGTGGGTCTGTGTGTGTGTGTGGTGGTGTGGTGGGTCTCTGTGTGTGTGTGGTGGTGTGGTGGGTCTCTGTGTGTGTGTGTGGGTCTCTGTGTGTGTGTGGTGGTGTGGTGGGTCTCTGTGTGTGTGGTGGTGGTGTGGTGGGAAAAACAACCCCCTACCTCCTCGCAGAGCCAGACGGGCAACTCTGTCGTGGACAGTGCTGTGGGGGGAGGTCCAATTTTGATTGGCTCCTCCCCTCATGGCGTCTGTGACCACCACAGGGGCTAAACGGGGGCTCTGGACGGGTGCGAGGGGCTGGTAACCCCTCCACCTTCAATAATTTACTACTAAACCACGACTAAAATATGTAACTAATAAGCTTGTGCCGGAGTCCCTGGGAGGACAGGCGTCTATGACGTCTCCTGGCCAAACCCCAATTGTCGGAGCCAGGAGATTAAATCTCTACCCTCGGGGCTCCTCCAGAAACAACGAAAAGCCACTACGGGTGGCCACGTGGAATGTTCGAACGCTCACCGCGGAGGAGAGGCTGCCACTCCTCTGTCGGGAGCTGGACCGGTACCGCCTGGATCTATGCGGCATTCAGGAGGTCCGGTAGACCGGTTCTGGCTCCTGCCACCATGAGGGGTGGACAGTCCTCTACTCGGGGCAGCAGACTAACAAACAGCAGGGTGTGGCTCTTCATTTGAACAAAAGAATGAAGGGGGCGTGGGAGCGTGGCTGTGAGGTGTGGGAAGCTGTGAGCCCCAGGCTACTTTGGGCTCGCCTTCCCATCAACCGGAGGAGAGGAGTGGTGGTCATGGTTACTTATGCTCCCACCGAAGACGAACATCCGTGGAGGGATGCAGGCAAAGCCGATGAGTCAGATGCCTTCTATGACCTCCTGTCACAGGTGCTGGCTAAAGTGGCCCCTCAGGATAGAGTCATCTTGTTGGGTGACTTCAATGCCCGAGTTGGTCATGATACTGATACCTGGTCTGGAGTGATTGGAGGGCATGGGCCAGATCAGCTCAATAACAACGATAGGAGGCTGCTAGATTTTTGTGCAGCCCATGGGCTTGTAATTACCAACACACTATTCTGGCATTGGCACATCCACACAACATCATGGATGCATGCCGGGTCCAAGCAAGAACATCTGCTGGACTACATAGTGACGGAACAGCGGATGCGAGCCCATGTCCTTGACACCAGGACCTACCATGGAGCTGATCTGCCCTCTGACCATCGACTAGTCATCTGTAAGATGCGCCTACCATTCTTCCACTCCGGTGGTGGGTGTACACCCAGGACCCCATTCCAACCTAAAGTGGCCTGGTCTCAGTTATCTGATGACAGAAGAGGTCTTCAGCATAGTTGAGAAGAAGCGACAGGCCCACTCTCATCGGCTACAGAATCCCACGTCAGAGAATGAGGAGGCTTACCACAGCCTTCGCTCGGAGGATCGGAGAGCCGTGAGGTGCTGCAAGGATGGGTGGTGGTCGCGGGTTGCTGAGGAGATGGAGTCTGCCTCAGTGGCCCATGATCACAAATCTCTATTTAACTCCATCAAAAAGGTAACCTGCAGCACCACGCCTATTACCATCATTAGGGGAAAAAATGGTGATCCAATCTCCGACCCCCAGGAACAGGTTTGCAGATTTGCTGAGCATTTCTGTGAGGTCCTGGGGGAGGGAAAATCCCTCAGCCAGGAAAACATCGTGGCACAAAGTGAGGATGACCCTGCTGAGGCTGCGGTGCCTCAAATATTGGAAGAAGTCACCCCCTGTGAGTGGCTGGCTGAGGTGCCATCTGTTGAGGATGTACTGAAGGTGATGCGGAGTCTGAGACCAGGAAAGACAGCGGGCAGAGATGATCTCCCAAGCGAAATGCTGAGGGAGGGTGCCGTTTGTGTACAGACTGCCCTATATGACATCATAACAACAGTCTGGACCACTGGACGGGTTCCGCAGGATTGGAACGATGCCCTAGTGGTCCCCCTCTTTGAGAAGGGGGACCGCACAGACTGTAACAACTACAGGGGCATCTCACTCCTCAGTGTGTCGGGAAAGGTGCTGGCAAGGATTATTCAGCATCGCCTTGCTAGGCACGCTGAGGAGAGGCTTGCGGAGCCCCAATGCGGTTTCAGGAAAGGGCGGTCCTGCACAGATGCCATATTTTATGTCCGTATGCTACAGCAGAGGTGTAGGGAATTCCAGCAAGACCTACATCTCTGCTTTATTGACCTGGTCAAGGCCTATGATACCATCAGTAGGCCTTAGGCTCTGGAATGTTCTTCGTGCTTTTGGAGTCCCTGACCCTCTGCTAACGATCATTAAGGACCTTCATGATGGTGAGCGGGCCCTGGTAAAACTACGTGGCCGGGAGTCAGAGCCATTCTCTGTACACCTTGGGGTGCGACAGGGATGTCCTCTGGCTCCCACATTATTTAACATCTATTTTGACCACGTAGTTCGTGAAGCCTTCAATAGCTGTACCGTGGGAATCTCCATTTGGTACAGATATAATGGGAGGCTGATCGATGCGCGGGTGCGGTCAAGGGATGGCTCCCTATTGCTCAACCACGTTATGTATGCCTATGATTTGGTAATAGCTGCTCAGTCAGAGGAGGAGTTGGAGACGCAGCTGCTGAGACTGGAGCGTGCCACTTAGAGGTGGGGCCTTACCATCAGCCCCACCAAAACTAAGCACCTGCCTGGGTATTTTGTACCATCGGACACTCCACCCCCACACCTCCCAATCGGTGATGGGGCAGTTGTGGAGAGAGTGGAGAGTTTCCCATACCTGGGCAGTGTGCTTATGACTGGCTCCAGTTTAACAGCAGAGGTCTCACTCCGAATCAGTCGAGCGGCAATATATTTTCATCGGTTGTGTAACGGTGTGTGGAAGCTACCTGGTCTTTTGCTCCACACTAAGCTTCAGGTCTTCTCGGCCACGGTCATTCCCTCCCTACATTAGGCTAGCCTGACTACGATCCATTCTTGGTTTAACCAGGCTGGATTGTGTGAGGAGCTCACAAATCCTTGAAAGATCTGGGCAAGGTCCCATCGGTGAGCTCCTCCGGCAGGCAAGGCTGCGATGGCTGGGTCATGTAGCCCGCATGCCCAGCCACCGCATGCCAAAACAGCTTTTGTTCGGCCCGATCGAGGGGGCTAAACGGGCGCGGCACGGGCTAGAGAAGAGATGGAGTGATGTGGTACAGGAGGACGTGGAGCTGAGTGGACTTGCCGATGACTGGTAACAGCGGTGTCAAGATCGGCCTCTGTGGAGGAGGCTCGTGAAGGATGCTACTGGGCAGTTGGAGGCAGTCACCATTCAACAACAACGGAGGGCGGAGGAGCGACACTCACAACAATGAGCAGAGCGCCGGGTGGATAAAGCACAGCAGGTTGGCACAGTAGGGGGCACAGGTGGTGCATCAGCCAGTCATCTCAGTCAGTCGACCCGTGGCACCTGGGTCTGCCCCGTGATTTCCTGCCAGCGGGCGTTCGACACTTCACGTGGCCTCAAGGTGCACATAGCCTGGCACAAGCGTCGTGGTGACGTCACCACCACTTAGTGGCGAATGGCGGTTGTTGTTGTTTGTCTGTGTGTCTATGTGTGTGTGTGTGTGTCTGTGTGTTTGTGTTTTTGTTGTGGTGGGTCTGTGTGTGTGTGTGTGGCGGTGTGGTGGTGGTGGTGTGGCAGGGATGGTGGTGTGGTGGTGTGGTGGATCTCTGTGTTTTGAGTCTATGGGTCTCTGTGTGGTGAGTCTATGGGTCTCTGGATGATGAGACTACGGGTCTCTGTGTGATGATGAGTCTATGGGTCGAACTCACGACCTCCTGTAGGCCAGGCGAGGTATTCAACATCTCACAGGGTCTGGGATCGAACCCACGACCTCCTGTATACCAGGCGAGGTAGTCAACATCTCACAGGGTCTGTGATCAATCCCACGACTTCCTGTGTACCAGGCGAGGTAGTCAACATCTCACAGTGTTAGCGATCGAACCTACGACTTCCTGTATACCAGGCGAGGTAGTCAACATCTCACAGTGTTAGCGATCTATACCACAACCTCCTGTGTACCTGGCGAGGTAGTGAACATTTCACAGGGTCTGTGATCGAACCCACGACCTCCTGTAGACCAGGCGATGTAGTCAACATCTCACAGGCTCACGGCATCGAACCCACGGACCTCCTGCAGACCAGGCGAGGTAGTAAACATCTCACAGTGTTAGCGATTGAACCCACGACCTCCTGTGTACCAGGCGAGGTAGTCAACATCTCACAGGGTCAGCGATCGATCCCACGGACTTCCTGTGTACCAGGCGAGGTAGTCAACATCTCACAGGGTCTGTGATCGAACCCACGACCTCCTGTGTACCAGGCGAGGTAGTCAACATCTCACAGGGTCTGTGATCGAACCCACGACCTCCTGTGTACCGAGCGAGGTAGTCAACATCTCACAGTGTCTATGATCAAACTCACGACCTCCTGTACACCAGGCAAGGTAGCAATCGAACCCACGGACTTCCTGTGTACCTGGCGAGGTAGTGAACATCTCACAGTGTCAGCGATCGATCCCACGGACTCCCTGTGTACCTGGCGAGATAGTCAACATCTCACAGGGTCTTTCACGACCTCCTGTGTACCAGGCGAGGTAGTCAACATCTCACAGGGTCTGTGATCTAACTCACGACCTCCTGTGTATCAGGCAAGGTAGTCAATATCTCACAGGGTCTGTGATCTAACCCACGACCTCCTGTGTACCAGGCGAGGTGGTCAACATCTCACAGGGTCTGTGATCTAACCCACGACCTCCTGTAGGCCACGCGAGGTAGTCAACATCTCACAGCGTCAGCGATCGAACCCACGGACCTCCTGTGCACCAGGCGAGGTAGTCAACATCTCACAGCGTCAGCGATCGATCCCACGGACCTCCTGTGTACCTGGCGAGGTAGTCAACATCTCACAGGGTCTTTCACGACCTCCTGTGAACCAGGCGAGGTAGTCAACATCTCACAGGGTCTGTGATCGATCCCACGGACCTCCTGTGTACCAGGCGAGGTATTCAACATCTCACAGGGTCTATGATCAATCCCACGGACTCCCTGTGTACCCGGCGAGGTAGTCAACATCTCCCAGTGTCAGCGATCATTCCCACGGACCTCCTGTGTACCCGGCGAGGTAGTCAACATCTCACAGTGTCTATGATGGAACTCACGGACTCCCTGTGTACCTGGCGAGGTAGTCAACATCTCACAGTGTCTATGATGTAGTCAACATCTCACAGTATCTATGATCGATCACACGGACCTCCTGTGTACCCGGCGAGGTAGTCAACATCTCACAGGGTCTTTCACGACCTCCTGTGTACCAGGCGAGGTAGTCAACATCTCACAGGGTCTGTGATCTAACCCACGACCTCCTGTGTACCAGGCGAGGTAGTCAACATCTCACAGGGTCTTTCACGACCTCCTGTGTACCAGGCGAGGTAGTCAACATCTCACAGGGTCTGTGATCGAACCCACGACCTCCTGTGTACCAGGCGAGGTAGTCAACATCTCACAGGGTCTGTGATCGAACCCACGACCTCCTGTATACCAGGCGAGGTAGTGAACCTCTCACAGTGTCAGCGATCGATCCCACGGACTCCCTGTGTACCTGGCGAGATAGTCAACATCTCACAGGGTCTTTCACGACCTCCTGTGAACCAGGCGAGGTATTCAACATCTCACAGTGTCAGCGATCGAACCCACCGACCTCCTGTGTACCTAGCGAGGTAGTCAACATCTCACAGGGTCTTTCACGACCTCCTGTGTACCAGGCGAGGTAGTCAACATCTCACAGGGTCTGTGATCGAACCCACGATCTCCTGTAGACCAGGCGAGGTAGTCAACATCTCACGGTGTCTGTGATCGAACCCACGACCTCCTGTGTACCAGGCGAGGTGGTCAACATCTCACAGGGTCTGTGATCTAACTCACGACCTCCTGTGTATCAGGCAAGGTAGTCAATATCTCACAGGGTCTGTGATCTAACCCACGACCTCCTGTGTACCAGGCGAGGTGGTCAACATCTCACAGGGTCTGTGATCTAACCCACGACCTCCTGTAGGCCAGGCGAGGTAGTCAACATCTCACAGCGTCAGCGATCGAACCCACGGACCTCCTGTGCACCAGGCGAGGTAGTCAACATCTCACAGCGTCAGCGATCGATCCCACGGACCTCCTGTGTACCTGGCGAGGTAGTCAACATCTCACAGGGTCTTTCACGACCTCCTGTGAACCAGGCGAGGTAGTCAACATCTCACAGGGTCTTTCACGACCTCCTGTGTACCAGGCGAGGTAGTCAACATCTCACAGGGTCTATGATCAATCCCACGGACTCCCTGTGTACCCGGCGAGGTAGTCAACATCTCCCAGTGTCAGCGATCATTCCCACGGACCTCCTGTGTACCCGGCGAGGTAGTCATCATCTCACAGTGTCTATGATGGAACTCACGGACTCCCTGTGTATCCGGCGAGGTAGTCAACATCTCACAGTATCTATGATGGAACTCACGGACTCCCTGTGTACCTGGCGAGGTAGTCAACATCTCACAGTATCTATGATGGACCTCACGGACTTCCTGTGTACCTGGCGAGGTAGTCAACATCTCACAGTGTCTATGATGTAGTCAACATCTCACAGTATCTATGATCTAACCCACGACCTCCTGTAGACCAGGCGAGGTAGTCAACATCTCACAGTATCTATGATCAATCCCACGGACTTCCTGTGTACCCGGCGAGGTAGTCAACATCTCACAGTGTCAGCGATCAAACCCACGGACCTCCTGTGTACCCGGAGAGGTAGTCAACATGTCACAGTGTCTATGATGTAGTCAACATCTCACAGTGTCAGCGATCGATCCCACGGACTCCCTGTGTACCCAGCGAGGTAGTCAACATCTCACAGTGTCTATGATGTTGTCAACATCTCCCAGTGTCAGCGATCGATCCCACGGACTCCCTGTGTACCCGGCGAGGTAGTCAACATCTCAGAGTGTTAGCGATCGAACCCACGGACTCCCTGTGTACCAGGCGAGGTAGTCAACATCTCACAGTGTCTATGATGTTGTCAACATCTCCCAGTGTCAGCGATCGAACCCACGGACTCCCTGTGTACTCGGCGAGGTAGTCAACATCTCACAGTGTCCATGATGTAGTCAACATCTCACAGTGTCAGTGATCGATCCCACGGACTCCCTGTGTACCCCGGCGAGGTATTCAACATCTCACAGCGTTAGCGATCGAACCCACGGACCTCCTGTATACCCGGCGAGGTAGTCAACATCTCACAGTATCTATGATCTAACCCACGACCTCCTGTAGACCAGGCGAGGTAGTCAACATCTCACAGTGTTAGCGATCGATCCCACGGACTCCCTGTGTACCCGGCGAGGTAGTCAACATCTCACAGGGTCTTTCACGACCTCCTGTGCACCAGGCGAGGTAGTCAACATCTCACCGTATCTATGATCGATCCCACGGACCTCCTGTGTACCCGGCGAGGTATTCAACATCTCACAGTGTTAGCGATCGAACCCACGGACTCCCTGTGTACCCCGGCGAGGTAGTCAACATCTCACAGTGTCAGCGATCGATCCCACGGATTCGCTGTGCACCCAGCGAGGTAGTCAACATCTCACAGTGTCTATGATGTTGTCAACATCTCCCAGTGTCAGCGATCGATCCCACGGACTCACTGTGTACTCGGCGAGGTAGTCAACATCTCACAGTGTCCATGATGTAGTCAACATCTCACAGTGTCAGTGATCGATCCCACGGACTCCCTGTGTACCCGGCGAGGTAGTCAACATCTCACAGTATCTATGATCAATCCCACGGACCTCCTGTGTACCCCGGCGAGGTAGTCAACATCTCACAGTATCTATGATCAATCCCACGGACCTCCTGTGAACCAGGCGAGGTAGTCAACATCTCACAGGGTTTTTCACGACCTCCTGTGTACCAGGCGAGGTAGTCAACATCTCACAGTGTCTATGATCGAACCCACGGACTCCCTTTGTACCTGGCGAGGTAGTCAACATCTCACAGGGTCTTTCACGACCTCCTGTGCACCTGGCGAGGTAGTCATCATCTCCCAGTGTCAGCGATCGAACCCACGGACCTCCTGTGCACCAGGCGAGGTAGTCAACATCTCACAGTGTTAGCGATCGATCCCACGGACCTCCTGTGCACCAGGCGAGGTAGTCAACATCTCACAGGGTCTTTCACGACCTCCTGTGAACCAGGCGAGGTAGTCAACATCTCACAGTGTTAGCGATCGATCCAACGGACTCCCTGTGTACTCGGCGAGGTAGTCAACATCTCACAGTATCTATGATCTAACCCACGTACTCCCTGTGTACCCGGCGAGGTAGTCAACATCTCACAGTATCTATGATCGATTCCACGGACCTCCTGTGTACCCCGGCGAGGTATTCAACATCTCACAGTGTCTATGATGTAGTCAACATCTCACAGGGTCTGTGATCTAACCCACGACCTCCTGTAGACCAGGCGAGGTAGTCAACATCTCACAGTGTCTATGATCTAACCCACGGACCTCCTGTGTACCCCGGCGAGGTAGTCAACATCTCACAGTGTCTATGATCGATCCCACGGACCTCCTGTGTACCCCGGCGAGGTATTCAACATCTCACAGTATCTATGATGTAGTCAACATCTCACAGTATCTATGATCTAACCCACGACCTCCTGTGTACCCCAGGCGAGGTATTCAACATCTCACAGTGTCTATGATGTAGTCAACATCTCACAGGGTCTGTGATCAAACCCACGGACTCCCTGTATACCCGGCGAGGTAGTCAACATCTCACAGTGTCAGCGATCGATCCCACGGACCTCCTGTGTACCCCAGGCGAGGTAGTCAACATCTCACAGTGTCTATGATGTAGTCAACATCTCACAGTATCTATGATCTAACCCACGACCTCCTGTAGGCCAGGCGAGGTAGTCAACATCTCACAGTATCTATGATCAATCCCACGGACTTCCTGTGTACCTGGCGAGGTAGTCAACATCTCACAGTGTCAGCGATCAAACCCACGGACCTCCTGTGTACGCGGAGAGGTAGTCAACATCTCCCAGTGTCAGCGATCGATCCCACGGACTCCCTGTGTACCCGGCGAGGTAGTCAACATCTCCCAGTGTCAGCGATCGATCCCACGGACTCCCTGTGTACCCGGCGAGGTAGTCAACATCTCACAGTATCTATGATGTAGTCAACATCTCACAGTATCTATGATCTAACTCACGGACTCCCTGTGTACCCCAGGCGAGTTATTCAACATCTCCCTACCACCCTCCACCACCCTCCACCAGGTGGCGTGTGCCCCCAAGGACCTCCGCCGCTCCGTGCGAGCTGCGTTCAGCCGCAAGAATCCGTGCGGGCTCTCGGAGGCCCTCTTCTCGTCTGCCGAGAGTGATCTCTACGTGAAGTGGACCCCCTTCAGCCACGAGTGGGAGGCTGAGCTGCCGCTGTCCTCGTGCCAGGCCGCGGTCAGCCAGCGCCTGGGCTACGAGCCGGAGTACAACGAGGCCCTCTACGTGCACGTGGACAGCTGTGTCGTGTCTTAACGTGGTGGTGGTGTGGGTGGAGCTGGGGGTGGAGCTGGGGGTGGAGCTGGGGTGGAGCTGGGGTGGTGGTGGAGGAGCTGTGTTGTGTCTTAACGTGGTGGTGTGGGTGGAGCTGTGTTGTGTCTTAACGTGGTGGTGTGGGTGGAGCTGGGGTGGAGCTGGGGGTGGAGCTGGGGTGGAGCTGGGGTGGTGGTGGAGGAGCTGTGTCGTGTCTTAACCTGGTGGTGGAGCTGTGTTGTGTCTTAACGTGGTGGAGCTGTGTTGTGTCTTAACCTGGTGGAGCTGTGTTGTGTCTTAACGTGGAGCTGTGTTGTGTCTTAACCTGGTGGTGGAGCTGGGTGGTGGTGGAGCTGTGTTGTGTCTTAACGTGGTGGTGGAGCTGTGTTGTGTCTTAACGTGGAGCTGGTGGAGCTGGGTGGTGGTGGAGCTGTGTTGTGTCTTAACGTGGTGGTGGAGCTGTGTTGTGTCTTAACGTGGAGCTGGTGGAGCTGGGTGGTGGTGGAGCTGTGTTGTGTCTTAACCTGGTGGTGGAGCTGGGTGGTGGTGGAGCTGTGTTGTGTCTTAACCTGGTGGTGGAGCTGTGTTGTGTCTTAACCTGGTGGTGGAGCTGTGTTGTGTCTTAACCTGGTGGTGGAGCTGTGTTGTGTCTTAACCTGGTGGTGGAGCTGTGTTGTGTCTTAACCTGGTGGTGGAGCTGTGTTGTGTCTTAACGTGGTGGAGCTGTGTTGTGTCTTAACCTGGTGGTGGAGCTGTGTTGTGTCTTAACGTGGAGCTGGTGGAGTGGGTGGTGGTGGAGCTGTGTTGTGTCTTAACGTGGTGGTGGAGCTGTGTTGTGTCTTAACGTGGTGGTGGAGCTGTGTTGTGTCTTAACGTGGTGGTGGAGCTGTGTTGTGTCTTAACCTGGTGGTGGAGCTGTGTTGTGTCTTAACCTGGTGGTGGAGCTGTGTTGTGTCTTAACCTGGTGGTGGAGCTGTGTTGTGTCTTAACGTGGTGCTGGTGGAGTGGGTGGTGTGGGTGGAGCTGTGTCGTCTCTTAACCTGGTGGTGTGGGTGGTGGAGCTGGGGTGGGTGGAGCTGTGTCGTCTCTTAACCTGGTGGTGGTGGAGCTGGGGGTGGAGCTGGGGGTGGAGCCGGGGGTGGAGCTGGGGTAGAGCTGGGGTGGAGCTGGGAGTGGAGCTGGGGTGGGGCTGGGGTGGAGCTGGGAGTGGAGCTGGGGGTGGAGCTGGGGTGGAGCTGGGGTGGAGCTGGGAGTGGAGCTGGGGGTGGAGCTGGGGGTGGAGCTGGGGTGGAACTGGGGGTGGAGCTGGGGGTGGAGCTGGGGGTGGAGCTGGGGGTGGAGCTGGGGTGGAGCTGGGGGTGGAGCTGGGGGTGGAGCTGGGGTGGAGCTGGGGTGCAGCTGGGGGTGGAGCTGGCTGACTCACTCACGGAGCTGATGTGGTGTGGTTAGTTGATGTTGTGTTAGTTGATGTTAGTTGATGTTAGTTGATGTGATGTTAGTTGATGTTAGTTGATGTGATGTTAGTTGATGTGATGTTAGTTGATGTGATGTTAGTTGATGTTAGTTGATGTTAGTTGATGTGATGTTAGTTGATGTGATGTTAGTTGATGTGATGTTAGTTGATGTGATGTTAGTTGATGTGATGTTAGTTGATGTTTTTGTTGATTCGGTGTGGTTAGTGGGTAGTGATGTGGATGGGTGATGTGGGTAGTGATGTGGGTGGTGATGTGGGTGGTGATGTGGGTAGTGATCTAGTAATGTAGTAGTGTATAGTGTAGTGTAGTAGTGTATATGTCTGTGTCTATGTGTGTGCGTGTGTCTGTGTGTGTGTGTCTATGTGTGTGTCTGTGTGTCTCTGTGTGTGTCTCTGTGTGTCTGTGTGTGTCAGTGTGTGTGTGTCTGTGTGTGTGTGTGTCTGTGTGTGTCTGTGTGTGTCTGTGTGTGTGTCTGTGTGTGTCTGTGTGTGTGTGTGTGTGTCTGTGTGTGTGTCTGTGTGTGTGTCTGTGTGTGTGTCTGTGTGTCTGTGTGTGTGTGTCTGTGTGTGTCTGTGTGTGTCTGTGTGTCTATGTCTGTGTGTCTGTGTGTCTATGTGTGTGTGTCTGTGTGTGTCTGTGTGTGTCTGTGTGTGTCTGTGTCTCTGTGTGTGTGTGTGTGTATTTTATTTGTGGTTTAGTGTCTTGGACGGGTTCCGCAGGATTGGAAGGATGCCCTGGTGGTCCCCCTCTTTAAGAAGGGGGACCGCACAGACTGTAACAACTACAGGGGCATCTCACTCCTCAGTCTGCCGGGAAAGGTCCTGGCAAGGATTATTCAACATCGCCTTGCCAGGCACGCTGAGGAGAGGCTTGCGGAGCCCCAATGCGGTTTCAAGAAAGGGCGGTCCTGCACAGATGTCATATTTTCTGTCCGTCTGCTACAGCAGAGGTGTAGGGAATTCCAACAAGACCTACATCTCTGCTTTATTGACCAGGTCAAGGCCTATGATACCATCAGTAGGCCTTGGCTCTGGGTTGTTCTTCGTGCTTTTGGAGTCCCTGACCCACTGCTCACGATCATTAAGGACCTTCATGATGGTGAGCGGGCCAGGGTAAAACTACGTGGCCGGGAGTCGGAGCCATTCCCTGTACACCTTGGGGTGCGACAGGGATGTCCTCTGGCTCCCACATTATTTAACATCTATTTTGACCACGTAGTTCGTGAAGCCTTCAATAGCTGTACCGGGGGAATCTCCATATGGTACGGATATAATGGGAGGCTGATCGATGCCCGGGTGCGGTCAAAGGATGGCTCCCTATTGCTCAACCACGTTATGTATGCTGATGATTTGGTAATAGCTGCTCATTCAGAGGAGGAGTTGGAGAGATGGGGCCTTATCATCAGCCCCACCAAAACTAAGCACCTGCCTGGGTATTTTGAACCATCGGACACTCCACCCCCACAACTCCCAATCGGTGATGGGGCAGTTGTGGAGAGAGTGGAGAGTTTCCCATAACTGGGCAGTGTGCTTATGACTGGCTCCAGTTTAACAGCAGAGGTCTCACTCCAAATCAGTCGAGCGGCAATATCTTTTCATCGGTTGCGTAACGCTGTGTGGAAGCTACCTGGTCTGTCGCTCCGCACTAAGCTTCAGGTCTTCTCGGCCACGGTCATTCCCTCCTAGTGAGACACTGGGTAGTGAGACACTGGGTAGTGAGACACTGGGTAGTGAGACACTGCTAGTGAGACACTGGGTAGTGAGACACTGGGTAGTGAGACACTGGGTAGTGAGACACTGCTAGTTAGACACTGCTAGTGAGACACTGGGTAGTGAGACACTGCTAGTTAGACACTGGATAGTGAGACATTGCTAGTTAGACACTGGATAGTGAGACATTGCTAGTTAGACACTGCACTAACACCAATTCCCATCTTCTTGATGCTACGATCAGCCCGTGAATTTCTTCTGTCAGGGGGGTGGGCGGTCATAACTATTAAAGTATTTTTGCTCGCTGTAAATATGTTATTAATATTTGACGTGTAAAAAACAATATATACGTAAATATAAATATATATACGTGCGTATCTATGGCGTGTGTGTGCGCGTGCCTTTGTTTGCGAGCGTGGTGAAGAGGATGCAGAGGCAGATGTCTTTATTTTCCACAAGTTTCCCCGAGTCTCGCCGGTTCAGATCGCCGCTAGCTCTCCGTCACAGCGGCGATCTGAATGATGTTGTGTGAATGGGCCCCCCAACCACCACCACCACCACCACCACCTAAATTATATTAAACATTTTTTTTTAAATCGCCTATTATTAAAACTCGAATCCTTTTTTTTTGGTTACGATTTAAAGCATTCATAATAAAGGTTTTTGGTGGGTTAGATCGCGTTTTTATTTATAAATGTGTCGTAACCCTCCACCACCCGACACGGCCAATCAGCAAAAAAAAGTGTCACGTTGACAAAAGACACAAAATAGTTCACTACTTTAGCCCACCGGTGTGTTGTTGAAGAGTGAATCTCTACAACATTTACAGTTTGAGTTGTACGACGTTTCGCTGGTAAATACATCCAACGTCGTACAACTCAAACTGTAAATGTTGTGGATTCACTCTTCAACAACACACCGGTGGGCTAAAGTAGTGAACTATTTTGTGTCTTTTGTCAACGTGACACTTTTTTTTGCTGATTGGCCGTGTCGGGTGGTGGAGGGTTACGACACATTTATAAATAACGTGGCGATCTAACCCAAAAAAACTTTTATTATGAATAATATTGGTCGCGAAAGCCTTCTACGTGTTAAACTTGTTTAAAGCATTCGTGAGTGCGAGGATTCATCTTCTTTGGTTCTTTCGGTGAAGTCACCACCACGTAGAATGAGGATAACAATTATAAATTGATAAAATGAAATATTAAAATTCTCACGACGTTTCGGCCACGACACAAGCGGCCTTCATCAGGTGAAGGGACGAGATTGTCTGGAGGACAGCGCTGGAGTGAACACAGCCACGCTCAGATCGCGACCTTTTAAGCTGTGTGAGAAGAAACAAAGCGCCTTGACAAAGGAATTAGCAACACTAACATCACCAACACTAACATTACCACCACAAACACCACCACTAACACCACCACCACTAACACCACCACCACTAACACCACCACTAACATCACCACTAACACCACCACCACTAACATCACCAACACTAACATCACCAACACTAACATCACCACCACTAACATCACCACCACTAACACCACCACCACTAACACCACCACCACTAACACCACCACCACTAACACCACCACCACTCACATCACCACCACTAACATCACCAACACTAACATCACCACCACTAACACCACCACCACTCACATCACCACCACTAACATCACCAACACTAACACCACCACCACTAACATCATCACCACTAACACCACCACCACTAACACCACCACCACCACTAACACCACCACCACTAACATCACCACCACTAACACCACCAACACTAACACCACCACCACTAACATCACCAACACTAACACCACCACCACTAACATCACCAACACTAACAC